TTGATATTATTATTGGCAATGGGAATTTGGGCAAGATGGAAAATTGCATTTTAGGGCAAGATGGAATAGTTTCCATGTAGCAAGCGCAATTATTTTGATTTCTGTTATCAATTTATCTAACTAATTGAGGATGTAATTGTTTCTAGATGGTGAACAAGTATATAAGAAAGAGCAACAGAGGTTGTTGGACTGAAGAAACTGCAGATGGCGATGGATGAAGGTTTTGTGTATTACGTGGAGAACCATATGTGGAACCGCCCACAGATGACTGGGTACAGTGTCCAGTGTGTTGTGGTTGGGCACATGAACTATGTACAGACACAAAAGATGGATGTTTTTCGTGTGTCAATTGTAAAATGTAGGGATATCCTAGGTATTCCATCTTGCCTTCAGCGTGAGGGCAAGATGGAATTTTTGACGTTTTTACTTCATGATTCCTAATAGGTTTTATGCTTAATATTAATTATTTTTAATTACACAGTTTTTTAACCATCTAAGATCTCTGTCGAGACTGATTAAAATAAAAGCTTTATACTATGTTGTTTTATGTTTTTTTACATCATAAAGTTAAACCTTCCATCCTGCCCTCCCTTCCCCTATAACAGTTCATATATTATTTTATGTAACATATACATTTTAATTTTCTGAATCAATAAATCTGATATAATGGTTACTATATAAAAAGTACATTGTTGTTTACCAAAACTATTTACACATTAAAATTGCTCAATAAAGTATAAATTGTCTCCTGTTAAATTGTTTCTATAATAAAAGAAATAGTTGATATCCTTTAATGTCACCAAATATGGCGTTTTCTTGTTTGCTTTATGTTTCTTATGAATATTAAGAGTGCTTTTATTTTATATTCATTGCGGATTCAACCAGGCCGACAATAGGAACGGTCGAGTAATAACAGACAGAACACCACAAATCCGGAATAGACCACTCGCGAAAATTCCTGTAGTTGCTTGCCCTAATTCGATCCCGAGTATTCTCACGAAAATAAGCCTACTGTAACCTCTTTGTTTGTGCCCGTGGTTTCCAGCATTTAGCGTTCAAAATGTAATGCTTTTTCTGTAGAAAAGTCCTTTTCCAAAAATTCTTAAAAACGAAGTAGGTAGAACCAAACAGTTTTTTGCGTTAGAATCTCATGTAATTCTGCTATTAACTTACAATTTGGAAGTTTCAAAATCGAATTTGTTAATTCGCTACGAATTTTTAAACTGAAAGAAAATTCAAAGATAGCAAATTCGATTTTAAAAATTCCGATCAGTACGGTTATAGAAGAATTAAATTGGATTCCTTCAACCTTCGGCCATCTTTGGACACTAAGTATCATATTCTTTATATTGTTCAGACTCATATCATGATCATCAGATGTAAAATTTAAACCATTTGCATGATCGAATTACTCCACTTCTCATGTTGTTGATCCCTATATGTTCCTTCTAATACAAAAAGAACATAGCACTTGGAAATCGAACAAAATATTTTGAGCATATTCTATGAATATTTGTACTACATATTGAAAGTAAATTTATTATTATAATTTAAAAACACTAAATTAACATCAACCAAGAAAATATATTATTTCTAAAAATACTTACTTCTTGTTTAAACTGTGTAAAAGTCTTATTTATATTCTGAAATGGTACAGAAATGGCCACGCTGTCTCCATATTTATCAGCCGCTGTGTCTACTAAATCACCGAGAGTGGCATTGGAAAAAGTAAAACTTCCCCTCGAGTGCCAATAACTTCCACTAGTTCGGTTAGATATTTGTCTAAAATAATTTCTGAAAAATTAATTTTTTCATTATTGAAAACGAAATTGATATTATTTTTATTTATTTACTAGCTGCAAGGTCCCGCTTCGCTGGGTTTTTATTTGTATGTAATATAGGTTTTTTATATATATATAAAAGACTGTTTTTCTAAGTAATCTAGAATCTAGCTGCAAGGACCCGCTTCGCTGGGCAAAAAGTAACGATAGTGAAGATTAAGATAATTACATTATAGCCAATCTTACC